AGAAATCAGGAGACACTTGAGAATGAGACACAATATCCTTCTTCCGAGTCATACTTACTTTTAATAATTTAATGTTCCATGTTGCTACTCACTTCCTTAATCATTATGAAAATGAACTTCTGGGATATCCAGTGCATGGCTGTATGCAGATAATAACATCTGAGCAGATCCAGGTTTTCCAGGGTATAGGACATGAATAGCACTTCAGATTTTTGGATAGTTACTAGTTATTTTAGTTGGTGCTGAAGCAAATACTTGTTGACTGCTCAAATTGTATCAAAGTGCCAATTACTTACAATTAGAAAGCCAGGAGAATATGAAGTGGATTCACACAGACAGAAAATTCACTAGTAAGACTAATTTGACATTTTTTTTCCCCTCTACTGAGGTCACACCACTAATCTCCATTGGTATTGTTTGTCACCTACTGACGACATCAACAAAGTACAGAAAACTGTCATCCGCTCCAGAACAACAAAGTTAGCTAATGATGCATAGGATATTTGGTTTAAAACAGAGTACGTATTTGTCCTGCATTCAGATTTATGCAGTTCGTTGTACAAAAGCTACCATTAACATAAGCTGCTACATCCAATGATGTCCACATCAAATGCATCGAACCCAAAAAAGGTACTCACAATGAATAAGTAATTGATAAATCTTTAAAAAAAATGCAAAAACAAGTGTTAAATTTTTTAAAAATATAAAAGAATGAATTGCAGCTTCTGTCTCTCAGCGCTGAAGGCATGGTCCTGAGATTTATGGCATCAACAGAACCATTTGATTGAAGGACTGCTTTTTAAACTTACTGCCAGCCATCTATTACTCATCACATATTGTGGTAAAATTGACTGCGCTGTAATTACAATGTAACTGTTATTTGGATGAATGTTTGGGTTCTTTCAGACTTTCTAAAGTTTCAGTGCCAGAGACACACCCACAACAGGGCAAGCTGCAGTGCACAGAGGATATCTTTCATTGCCAAACCAGATGGACAGCTGGACACAAGATGCTCCATACTGCCCAGAGTTGCGCGTTAACCTTCCCAACTAAACCATAAGAGATAATATACATTCTATCAATCATTCCCAACAAAGCTGGCAATCCATAAATTTCATAGATTAAATATGTTCAATAACAAAGCTGCCATCTTTTGACTTCCCTGGGAGGTCCTCTTGGTCATCATCATAAATCACTGAGCAACACAGAACGGTTAACTCTGTAGTTTCCGGATTTAAGCATCAAAAGCAGTGGTGCCATTATCACAATCCTCAGTACCACAAGGCCAGGGAGAAAAGCACATTTAGAGAGTGCCTGTCCCAAATGCAACACCTTTTGCTACAAGTTAGTGTACGCAAATAATTGGGCCGTGAGCATGATCAGAATGCAGCAATGATGTTTTTCAGAGTCAAACATCGTATCAACTCTTAATATCCAGATTCTCACCTGCAGAATATCACACTCCGGCAAGATACAGAAGATTATGTGCTTTGGATGACCAAATGCGCAAAATCTGTCACCCAACTTCAAGCAGCAATAAATGCCTCCACAAAAGGAGGACAAAACTTCCATTATAGCACCTTCAGCAATCTCAAAATGTCCCAAAGCAATGTAGAGCTAATTAACTACATTTAAAGTGCAGTTTCTGCTGTAATAAACATGGGGCATCCAGTCTGCATGTGACAAAATAGCAATCTGATAAATAACCAGTTCTCATGTTTGGAGTCAAAAACAGAACAAGCTGGAAATATTCAGCAGATTAGGCAGCAACCAGGAAGAAAGGAACTTAATGGCCTGCGGCCAGAAACATCTGGTTAGAGCTGGTCTCCACCAAAAGGAAATTCGCAATTGCTACAGTAATGCTTATATTATCTCCCACAACATGAGTGGGTGAGGATATCACTGTATTGAAGAATCCAACAGACATTTAATATACCTAAATATTGTGCAAAAGCATTACATTCCTCAGTCATACTAGTGTCTGGGCCAACAATAAGCTAGTAGCTTATAATAGAGAAGCATGCTATTACTGGAGTAAAATCGAGAATAAAACTTTTATATCCTCAGATCACAAGCAAGTCTTGTAAAGACATCCTGATATACTGAACACAACATCAGTTTTATTTTCCTCCCCACAGATGCTCCCTGATGACTAGTCCTGCGGTAACGTCACTGCGTTAGCAATTCAGACTCCCAGGCAAATGTTCTGGGGTCACAAGTTCAAATAGCAATCCAAGCATTTTCAATTTTTTCTTCAGATCTGGTATCCACACTATTTTGCCTTTGTCCTTCTGTTTTGGGTGTTGATGGAAGAATGAATATTGGTCAGGACACTAGGAAAAATTTACTGCTCATAGAATCTTACAATCACTACCCGTGCTGAAAAAGGCCATTTGGACCATCGAGTTTGCACTGACCATCCAAAGAGCATCTCAACTTGATCTATCCCCCACCCAATCCCTGTAATCCCACATTGGGTTTTTACCATGGCTAACCTGGATAACCTACCTAACCTACACATCCTTGGACACAGACAACTTGTTGCATGGCCAATCCACCTAACCTGCACATCTTTGGACTGTGGGAAGAAACCACAGTACTGGGAAGAAACACACACAGACATGGAGAGAACGCTCAAACCCTTCACAGACAGTCACTCAAGGGTGGAATCGAACCCAGGTGCCTGGTGCTCCAAGGTGTATATTTTTTTTAAACTGAACACGCTTATGATCCCACTGTCATGGCAATTCAAGGGTTAAAGTTACAATTTCATGATCTCAGCACAGAACGTCACCTTCCAGGAAGGCACAACAGGAACTTTGATGTACACCCCTAAGACACTCTGTCGAAGGATTGAAGAGAGAATTAACTCACAAGAATGCCCTATAATGATCAATTTGTGCTGGTAATTGGGAATCAATACTTTGCAATAATTGTACATTTACAGAAGACACTTGTGTCGATGACATGCAACTATTAGGAAGGTTCTGTGGAAATCAGTTATGCAAGTAATTGGAACAATGCACTAAGTTATCAAGTAGACAAAATCTTAGCATCACTATGTGGGAGAGAGCTTAAAGCATAACTTCTAAGTTAATGGCCTGTTGCATGTATCTTCCCATTTGGAAAGAGACAAATTGACTTCTGTTTTCAATCTTGAAAACATCGTTCAACGAAGTGTGCATATGGAATTCAGTATAACAGACAGGGGACCCACTTGCAGCTATATTTATTTGTTGCTCATCCTAAATTATGTAGGGCTTGAAAAGGGCCGCTGTTGGTACTGTGGTTTCAGTGAGGTATTAATCCGAATGATGATAACTGCAACTTTAAAAAAGTCACCAACATTAAATTGACTTAAGCTGCACATATTTCATCAGGCTCACAGATCTGTTTCCAAAGCTTCATAGCACATGACCATGCAGCAGATAAATATAAAAGTGTTAGACATTATTGCAATATAGCACTGTGGGGTGCTAGTTGTTTACTTTTCGCACACAATCTGGGTTGACACTCCACTGCAGGTCTGATGGCATGCTGCACTGTCAGAGGTGCTAACTTTCAGAGGCTTGGGCTGCTCTCCCTGTGGTGAATGTAAAAGAGATCCCGTGACACACTGTAGTTCTCTCCTGTACCCAGTATCACTACAACAGATTATCCAGTCATGATCGCACGTTCTTGCTGTGCACAAATCATTTCCCATTTCCTTCATTGTTACAATGACTAAACTGCATAAGCATACATGTATGTTTTTAAACAATGCTTGGGGATGTCTTGAAGTATAAATTCAAATTATTTTCTCTTCTTGCCTCACCAAAGATGGAAAATAGGGTGTTGCCAGCTCCCAAACAAAATGCAGCCATGGCATGAGTGTGTAGAGAAAAAGGTGGGGTATCACTTTGTGACTAAATTTAACAAAAGAAACAAGCAGGCCCCAACACACAACACCTCAAAATCCCCTCATGAAGTGCTTTCGTAGGAGGAGGTCTCCAAAGTGGAATCAAGATGGCGACAAATTAGCAGCACAGCATGCGGTCTCCCGAGTGGGTGGCTGCTTTGCCAAGATCAGCCCAGCGCGGACTCATGATAAGATGGAGAGACAATATAGCAAAGAATGGCGACATGGTTCCGTGGAGGCGGCACAGCAAAGGGACTTAAGGCTGATCAACTACTTCACGCTGGTGATGGTCTCAGTATTGGATTGGAAGAACCCAGATCCAGGCCCATGTCAAATCACTTAAAGATTCAACATTACAGTCCTTCTTGTTATTTTTCTACTTTATACTTAAGATTTTGTTTCTAGGTACGAAGTCACCAGAGAAGGGCAACTTTGTACACTTAACTGTGCTCCTGTACTCGAGTACATGCGACAATAAAACTTAATTCTAATTCATTCAAACTGTGGAGCGCAAAATTGCTTTGAGGCTGAACTGGGTGGGGTTGGGGGTGCAGAGTTTTGCAGGGCGCCACTCATGTGGGTCGAAGATGTTCCTTAATGAGAGCAAACACTGGCACAAGAACTCGTGGAACCAAAACGACAAGACAGCTTGGGAGACACAGGGTTAACGTACTACAAATAGCATGAAGCACAGCTGCTCACTGCAGGTTTTTGTGCCCCACAGTTCAGAAACTGTAACACTGAACTAACCCCCTCTCTCTCTCACACACACACATACACACACGATGACATACTTCTTTTGGCTTCCAAGTACAATGTATCACCATAATTATTAGGCAATTCAGAGACTGACAAGGGAAAAAGAATACAGAGTTTGGAAATAAAATATTTGTCTCCTAAGAGACCTGGAAATTGAATATATTCCTTTTGACACTTGTAAATAATTCTGGATTTCCGCTCTTCCCACTCAATTCAGCTCTGTCACCATAGCAACAACAAACCACTCAGATTATTTTAGTAACAAGCCTTGTTGTTGATTTTTTTTGGGGGGGGAGGGGGTGGTGTTTCTCCCCTCGACGTATTCTAAAAGCAGCATACTCACCGTAATGGTGCTTTCTTTATTCTGTCTTCGGGTGGGTGACCCAACGCCTGGACTCTGAGGGACAGAGAATGAAGCGTCAGTAGTCATCCTGCTCAAGGGAAGGGAAACAGAATAAAATAAAAGTCTGGGCTCAACTCTTCAGCTCACTCCAAGCCAGTTCTGAACCAAGCTTCCCCCCGCCCCCCCACCTCCCCCACCCTCCCACCACCCCCAGTTGCTCGCCCTCCAGGCTGGTGACTGGTGACTCAAACTCGTTGGATCTGGTCGGTGAGACAAAACGGAGCTTTCAATGACCGCCCGAGGCAGCCATTGTGAAAGCAAGCAAATCAGTGTACAAATGCCAGTGGGAAGTGGGAAATTAACTAGTGACACAGGAACTTCTCTACACCAACCCCCTCTCTCCTCCCCACTCCCCCTTCCCTATATGTGCACTCTTCAACAATGCCTGGCTTCTTCTCATTAACTGTTTCCCCACCAAAACGTACACTTGTTCGAGCTCCCTGCTACATATGCTCACAACCAGTGCTTCCTCACATCCCTACTCTCAATCACAACTCATCAGCCTTTTCAAAAGATACATCACCCACTCAAAATTAATTAGTGGCTTCGTCAAGCTCATAGCACTCAAAAGTTAATGGCTTTTAGACTCCGTTTCAGTTGAGTGAGGAGATTGTGACCTGAGAGGATATAACATGCCAGACAACGTTCCCAGACATATCAGTGCGAATGTTGTGTCAGTGCTCCCAGTTCCACAGCTTACTTGCCTTTTATTATTGTTTTTTTAAAAAAAAAGCAAATGACAACAGTCAGGGCACTCTGACCAGTACCCATCATTTTCTTCAACTATTCAGTGTGGTTACTTACACTGGCTCCAGTCATCCTGGAGATGTCAGGTGAGATGTCCCATTTATGTGCATGTAACATCAACAGATGCTTACTCCTGAACATTACTAATTCCCCATTCTCCTCAATACCACCTCTGCTTACATCAATTTCTGAAGCACTGACCAGGAATCAACTAGGAGCCTCCAATTTCATAATCACTTCATATTATCCCGGGCAGTCTATACTTCCAGTGGGCCCTGAAAATATTATGTCCTCACCATCCATAATTTAAATAAATTTTCATGCCTCAAATGTCACATTGTGAGGGCAATATTTCTGAAAAGTGAGTCTTGCTGCTGAAGCTTTTTGTCTTGCACTCATCAGCTCCCTAGACATCAACGTATGTTGTCTCCAAATCTAATCCTGGATGTAATTCCATGAGGATGCAGCACTTACTAAACAATCCCAGGTGTACTTATAACTACATAGGCTCCCAATTTAAGGTGATCAGTCTAGTTCATAACATGATCCATTACACTTGCTAGAAGCAACATACAAAGAAAGGGTCCCTGGATAGGAGTGCGAAGAAAAAGATTATGCAAATCTCTTACATTCTTGAGAGAGATTAGGATCGCAGGGAGTGTAAAGTTCCTTGTTGCTTTCTCCATGGCAACAATTTGTCCAGAGTCAACTTACCAACCTTTTTCTCCCATAGTATAAACAGTGATCATTTGAAATTTGGCAACTTTGCATTTGTACTAATGATTTTTTAAAAATTTATTCATGGAAAGCATTGCTGGCTAGACTAGTTAGACCAGTGCCCATCCCTAATTGTTAAGTGTCAACCACATTGCTGTGGGTCTAGAGTCACGTAAGCCAGACCATAAGGATTTCCTTTCAAGGAAATGAGTGAACCAGATCAGTTTTTACAACAAGCGACAGTGATTACACGCTTGACATGAGGCTAACTCTTTTTTTTAAATTCCAGATTTTTATTTAAAGAATTGAATTCAAATATCACCAGCTGCCAATGGAGAGATTTGAATCCATGTCCCCAGAACGTTAACCTACGATTGTGGATTACTAGCCCTCTGATATTACCACTATGCCAACAAGTTGAAAAACTTCAGCAACACATTTCATTTTAGGAATATTCACAGTCTGTCCTACCAGCAATGGAATGGAGGTAGCAGAATGGTGTAAAAAGGTGAAGTCCCAACGGCAAGTGTGCCAGTAAGAGGACACCAAATTAAGCTCATTGCCAATAAAGCCAGAGAGGATAACTCACCTCATTAAAAAACAATTCAATCCTACTGATAACTATCAGGAAGGCATTGCCTGAAAGAGAATTGGATAGTAGAGAATAAAGGAAATTGTAGGGTTGTGAGCAGACAGAACAGTTGTTTAATTAATCCTACTTCGCCAATGAGATAGTACAGGGTCTATGAGCTGAATGATACAGCTGAAAAGGAAACCGTTTAATGGTTTGAAGAAGCTGAAGCCACCACCTCCAATGTGTGGCAAAGTCTGCAGATCATGCACTGGATTGATCAATGATCTCAGAAGCCATTGACCTGGTGTGGAAGCAAGTCATCTTTGATCCCAAGAAACTGCTTAAGAAGAAGGTGGTATCTAAAAACATTCAGTGCTTAGGATGATGGAGAAGTTATATTGGTGCAACACTAGACAGTATATCAGCCCTGCTGGAACTATAGCTAGCATAACACACCAGCTTTTGAACAAAGGCGAGGAGGCAGAGAGAGGAAGAGGACGACGACGACGACGAGTGAATTTAATTTTAAATATTGAAACGGGTCTTTGCTTCCTTTTAGAAAGCTAATATAATATTCGTTTCCAAACACCACCACCACACTGGGGTGATGTCCCTTTAAAACATCAATTCACAGACTCAACTGGAACAGTTTGTAAATAAGAAGGAGATAGGCATTCCTCTCAGTGGGCCCATTTAATGGATTAGCATATGAATAGGCAAATAGAAATCATTATTCTGCTTCTTAAGTGCCTGCTTTGAGTTAAAAAGTACATGGGACTCGAAGAAAGCTGTTATTTGTTATGGCTCTAATGTTGATTTTAAGTCTCTTTTGATACTTTAGAAAAGCAATGCAGCAGCACACCAGCTGGCTCTTCCTTGTAGTCAAGGCCCAATTCTCATTTTTTGGGGTCCCAAAATGACCACTGTTGTACTATCAGCCTCGGCTGCTCGATATAGGCTTCAGTTAAGGGACCAGTGAAACTCAGATTGAGCAGATTGTTTGAAATGAAATGTATACAATAGTAAGTCATTGGCACAGTAATACAACACCTCCACATTGACAGATTGACTACACAATGATACGTTGTTATGAGATATATGGAACCACAATGGCACTGCTACCAATTGGAGACCAATGTTGGTGGCTTGAGACAAATCATCCTTGCCAGAAGGTCTAGGATCCAGCTAGAAATACAGGGCTGGATTTTAAAGCCCCTCCATGTGGGTTCATAGGTGGGGATGGATGGAGAGGGAATAAAATACTATGGACACCGTTTCCTCTACTTACCTCCCCAACTAGACCCACCACAACTTTATAGAGGACCCACAGGGAGGCTTGACCACCCACGGGCCAATAGAGGCCTTTAAGTGATCAATTAGTGGTCACTTAGGGTGTTCATCCTACCACAGATGGTATTTAACCAGAAACCAGGTGTTCAGCCCAGTTGTTTTAACCGCACAAGTTAATGGTAATGAGGGAGGTGCCCATTAGGCCCAGTGGAGGCTGTTCATTATTGAACATTTTCTACTCAACCTGTTCAGATATATTATATACCTCTAGAGCACATGGGACTTCAACCCAGGCCCTTTGGTTCAGAGGTAGGGATGCTATCACTGCACCACAAGAGCCCGTCAAAAGCTATTAGTTGCCCAACAAGGGGCATGAACCCATGATCCTGAGGTTGAGAGTTTAATAATGAAGCTAGCTGAGCCTAGAGTGTTAAAATTAATAAAAAAGGAAACCAGCTGGGGAGCACTATTGGATGCTTACTTCTACACACCAGGGATTAATCATTGTTAACTAATTCATTCATGGGATGTGCGCACCGCTGGCTGGGTCAGCATTTAGTGGCCATCCCTAATCCCTCCCTTGAACTGAGTGGCTGGCTAGGGCCATTTCAGTGGACAGGTAGGAGAGCAGTCAACCACACTGCCATGGGTCTGGAGTCTCATGTAGGTCAGACCAGATACAAACGACAAAAAGGATAAGTGAACCAGATGGATTTTTATAACAATGAATGCCATTAGACTACATGTTTTTGGAGAAGTAAGCCAATTAACCCGCACTGAGTCTGTTCTACCATTCAATGAGATCATGGCTGACCTGATAATCCTCAACTCCACTTTCCTGCTTTATTTCCCGTAACACTTGATCTCCTGATTAAAACTCAAGCTCGAGCTTTAATAATTTTAAATGACCCAGTCCCTACTGCTCTCGGCAGTAAAGAATTCCACAGATTCACTGTCCTCTGGCAGGAAGAAATTTCCCCTCAAGCTTAAATTGGGGGCTCCTTACTCGGAAGTTATGCTGTCCTAGACTCTCCTACAAAGGGGGAAACAACTTCTCTGCAGCTTCCCTGTCAATCCCCTTAAGAATATTTTTTGTTTCAATAACATTCCAATTTCTCATTCTTCTCATCATCAATGAGTACTGACTCAACCTACTCAATCTCTCTTGTGTTGATGCCTTCATGACCAAAAATCAACCTGGTGAAGCTTGTCTGGACTGCCCCCAATCCCTGTGTATCATTCCTTGGTTAAGGGAACCAGACTATTTGCAGCATTCAATGTGTGGTCTGACTAGTGCCTCGTATAACTTTATCATCAAGGCCAACCTATCTTGATATTGCTTTGCATTTGAAATTGAAAAGCCAATATTCCATTAGCCTTCCCTATCACATGAACCGGCATGCTGGCTTTTTGAGATTTATACACGAGGACCCCAAATCCCATTGTGCTGCAGCCTTCTGCAGTCTTTCACCATTCAAATCACATTTATCTCTTGTACTTATCTTGTCAAAGTGCATGGTCTCTCATTTTCCCACATATGTTCCATCCGCCAAGATTTCACCCACTCACTTAAAATTTCTAGCGATTGGGAGGAGAGTTCAGCAGTTCAGCATCACTGTGAAGTGGGCAGGAAGAAGGGTGTAGCAGTTGGCTTCGCTATGAAGTAAACTGGGATGGAGTGTGTAATCAGTATCACTGTGAAGCAGACTGGGAGGAACTCGGTGTAAAGCAGTGCGTGAGTAGGGCAGCAAACTTAATAAAAAAAAACAGCATGAGTGCAGACTGCTCAGCTGGTGCTGTTCAGGGTGGGGGAAGATAGCATGTATCATTAAAAAGGTACTCCTAGAAGTTTGATCACATGATGTTTGCCCACAAGACATCTGAAAACATTGATGTGCATATCTTGTGAAAAAGGTTCAGTCCCCTTGCTTACTTTGTAGTTTGATTTGATCTCAGCAGTTGTGGTGCATTAACAGATGAGAAACTAGGCCAAAAGAAGAGAGGAGATAGAAAGGAGTCACAGGGAGAAAAGCAGAGCTGGCAGAAACTTTGCTTCCATTAGTAATTCACTGAATGTGCACAGATAACTAGTAATATCCACCAATAAACTCTGATTTCTGGTCTTATATTAATAACTGACTGACCCAGATAATAGTAATCCTACAATCGATTAATATATGCCTTCAAACTATAGTCACAATCCTTCTGCACTGTGCAAACTGGCCAGACAATATCACAGTTAACAGGCTCCACCTCATTCATCTCCTGGACTCTGGCTAGGCCTTGGGTTACTCACAAAAAGATGACAACTTTCAAATGAGAATGTTGCTCAGAATCAATATATACTTGGACATCGCATATTAGAAATCGGCCAGCCATGACCGATCGCAACCAAACAGAGATCACAGATAATAGCATTGATGCTTGCTGCATTAGCTCAGAGGTCACGTTATCCTAAACCAAGCTCAGCAGCAGCACTTCCAAACTATTGAAGGGACTTGGGCTTGGAGAATGACTGCAAATTACTACATAAAAGAGGATTGCTAACTCTAATGCCCATTTGGCAATGCAATAATTTCTGTACATACAGGATGAAAAACAAAGTCTTAATTTAATAGAGAATTAGTGAAATACAAAGTAAAAAGCCAGACACACAGTCCACCTGTTTTAAAATAAGCCATTTCTGGACAAGGGACTTAACAATACATATAACATGGAGTCTAAAAACGGACAAGCAAGCTGCTCAGTTCAAATGCTATTATGAATGGGCAATAAATACTGGCATTGGCAGCAATGTTCACATCCCACAAAAGAATTTTATTTTTTAACTATTTAACTTATTTGCATATAATCCAATCAAATGAATACTAACAAATCTTCATGTTCTGTTTTAGGACCAGGCCACTAATTGAACACATAGTAAAGATTTTCTAGACAGCCAAAATTGAACAGAACAAAGTGAAGAGTAGGATATTGAGCACAAGTCTGTATTGAATTGCCTGAGTTTTGGGGACAAAGTTGCCACGGAGGAAAATGGCTGTAGCTGGTCACATGAATGTTCAGGATTGAATGCTGGCCTAGACCTAGGAGATTCATACTCTAGGACTATAACATTCGTGTTCCCAACCTACAGTGGAGGGTGATCAACATACCTGTGGATCACTGCTAGTCTTTCTCAAAGCCATGTGCGAGGTCTCCGAATGGTGTGACAGACTCCCTGACGAGTGAAAGCCATTCACTGTAAATGCAAAACACAGCTATGTTAAAAAGGCCAATCTGGTCAAATTCTAATCTGTGATGCTGTCCAAAAATAAATTATGCAAATTTTTGGCATTAATCCACTACTTTTAAAACATTGATTACTTCCGTTGTATTTGAGATAATATCCATAAAGCACTTCCTCATAAGAAACCAGTTCCTTTCACATTGGCAAATGCCAAAGTAAGAAAACTGACACTAGGGGGTTCAAAGACTGGTTTCCACAGGCACCTCTGCAGAGAGCATGTTTTCCCTGAGAGACTCAGACATTCTGCTAGAGATGGAGGAAACATTGGCCCTGGCCAATGCATGCAGCAATTAAAAGCCATCATGTTTTGTTGAAAGCTATAAATCTGTGCTTTGCCTATGTCAGGTGTGGCTGGGCAGTTCCAGTTTTTCAATATTCTTCCCTCAGTCCATTATGTGATATCTCTCAGTCAAGCTGGCCAGAAAATCATTGCAGGAAGGATCTAATCATTTGGTGTGTACAGTAGCAGTGAGTCATAATGACACAAGTGGAGTCAAAACTGATAATGTACTCTTGATCTTTCACATGGAATTTATCAGCAATAAAACTGAGTTTGAAATTGAATCAAGAATATAGAGTATTAGAAAAATTCAATTAATCAAATGCTTTTCAACATTACACCTTTCAAGGTAGAGATTCTACCCTGTACCATAAAGCTTCAATTCGCAGGTTAATCATAAATAATAAAAAAGACACTGTAGGAGAAGAATTTTGCTACATTAACTTTCTCATTCCATTAGTACACTTGTAATTTGTCAGAAATCTATTTTTCAAGTTAGTGATATGACATCAGTATTTCTGATGAGGAGCTTTCAATAAAAATCACCCACACCCATTCTGGAATCAGACCCCAATGTGCTTTGGGCTGAAATCTTAAAAATATGTTTACGATGAGTCATTGACTTAATTGGCACCTTTGCAAATTATTTATTTATTTATCTCCTTACTTTCTCCCCCATTCTTTCCTGCAGATGCCGACTTGTGCAGAGTGTGGCAGTCACTTAAAGTAGTTCCTAACAGTACAATACATATGATTAAAACCTATTGTCTATTTTCTTGTTGTAAGAAGAGGAATAGTCCAGAAATTTCTCTGTAAAATCATATCAAATATTGCCTCTTTTGAAATGAGGTTAACCCAGAAGCCAGCATTGTCAACTCTGAGCCAAGGATTTTCCCCCCGCATTGTACAACGTTAGTTAGGTTCGGTAGCTCCTCGGGTACCATGCAGCAATAAGCCCAATGCATGGCCAAGCAGCACAGGTGCCTTTGTTGTTGTCCAGAGAGAAATTAGAAATGCAGCTCTCCTTACAGAAGAGCAAGAAGATACAAGTTGGTAACCAAGAGTGTTGGGTTGGGAGATTGTAGTGGTTTAACTGCTGGACTGGTAGACCATTATGGTCTAACTATATTTGATATTACCCATTCCATACTGATGACTTGGTCATCATGTTGTTGCCTAGTTCTTACCCATGACTGGAAATATAGATTGATTTTGTGATACCAGATCATTTTATTCAAAGCAATGCACAAGTAATCATTACAAAGACATAATTTACACGTAGATTATTGTCGATCTAAGGACCAGAGAGTGTTCAAAACTATATTTTGGGGAAGTTCTGATGACCAGATATACTGAATGTCTGATTGTCAGGTAATATAGTTTGGAATGTTACTCTAAGATATTGAAGTTGTTCTGATTAAGTTGGAGATGAAGAGAAAGGATGGGAAAGTGATGGAGTGGATCAACAACACCGGTATGCACTGGCTGGATCAAATAACCAGTTTCTGGGCTATAACTCCTACATATTAGTTCAGAAATTTGGAGGATCTCCTGGATTCCATGAATGTATGCATTTAATCTGTAAAAAAGTGTAGGTGGAAACCAAAGTAAGAAACTAGAGGCAACATGGTCAGTGTTATGGAGAAAATTTACCATGAGAATTATACAATTAAAAGTAGTGTTTTGGGCAGTGTTGTAGAACAGACAGACCTAGGAGCTGAGGTACATAATTCTTTGAAGTTTGCATCACATACAGCTAGAGTGGTTAAGAAGGCATTTAGCACACTAGCCCTCATGGCTCAGACCTTTGAGTATAGGAGTTGGAGTTGGAGAAGATGTTGGCAAGACCTCTTCTGGAGTACTATGTCCAGTTCTGATCACCCTGTTGTAGGAAGGATATTAAGCTGGACAGGGATCAGAGAAGATTTACCAGGATGTTACCAGGAATGGAGGGTTCGAGTTATAAGGAGAGACTGGATAGGCTGGGACTTTTCGCTAGAGCGTAGGAGGTTGAGAGGTGACATTATAGAGGTTTACAAAATTGTGTGGGGTATAAATAAGGTGAATGGCAAGTGTCCTTTCCCTAGGGTGGAGGGATTTTAAGACTAGGGGGCATGGGGGGAGATGAGAAAGATTTAGAAAAGGCATGAGGGGCAACTTGTTTTGTTTAACAGAATGGAAGTTCATTCCACACACAAACCAGAGGAAGTGGTGGAGGACGGTTCAGTTACAACAACATTTCAAAGACATTTACATAAGTGCATGACTAACAAATTAAAAAACAAATTGCTGGAAAAGTTCAGCAAATCTGACAGCCTCTGTATAGAGAAATCAGAGTTAATGCTAAGGGTTGAGTTACCCTTCCTCAGAAGTGGATGAGTTCATGAATAAGAAATGTCTGGAGGGACTTGGGATAAGCGCAGGCACATGGGACTAGTTTAGTTTGCGATTATGGTTGGACCAACGGGCCTGTTTCAGTGCTGTATGACTGTGACTCGAAATAAAGCTTCAACAGTTGCTGTAATTCCTCCTCAATCCTAAAGAATCTCGAATTGAATGCAACATTGAGTGTTTGTTACTTGTTGACCTGATAGATTTATTCGGTGTGAAATCAGACAGGAACTGGGTCAGAACAGTGGAGCATACTAAATAAAAACCAAAAGAACTGTGGATGCTGTAAATCAGGAACAAAAACAAAGTTGCTGGAAAAGCTCAGCAGGTCTGGCAGCATCTATGGAGGAGAAAACAGATCCGGTGACCCTTCCTCAGAACAGTGGAGAGTTGGTTGGGGACATATTGCATTTCAAATTTCTTCCATGGGATGTCAAATTACAAAATTCTATGAGAATAGAGAGGTCAAATGTATCTCAAACTTGGAACTCTGGATGAGCTGAGCAAGGTAAGAAGCTGGAGTGTAATAAGTAACTTATGTACTCATCCAATTACAAAGCAACTGAATAGCAACCACTGGGAAAACAGAGACAAAGCTACAAGACTATGATTAAAATTAAGACCCAATTTAAAAATCAAGCAAAAATTATTTCTATGATAGATTAATGAACCAGAGATATAAAATGGAGCAAAGTGTAGTTGTGTAGTGTTGGGACTCTGAAGCTTGGCCTCCCTTCCTAAGCAGCACATGATACAGTCAGACACAATGAGCTCTCTGTAGCGAATATTGCAACCGGTCTGTATTTATAGTCAGAATTGCATCCAGCAGGATGGATCAGAATGTTCACTTAGTAATTTCAAGACAAGATACAGCATTAAAAAATACGTATACCAAGACGTACTAAAATTAGTTCGATAGGATTTTATTCCCAAATTAGGCCATTTAAGAAAGGTATGAGATCAAGAGCAGTTCTGACAGTTATTGATCTGAAACGTTAACTCTTTCTCTCTCCACAAAGCAACTTTAATGTCCTCTCATATCCATGGAGAGACCACCTTCACAGAAGTGGGCCTGATTGATTGGAATCAATTTTAGACAAAATTCCATTCATTGGCCAGTCGGTTACCAGAACTACAGATGTCAATTTTTTTATATATTCAACATTGAGAATGCATGAGGAATGGAGTCAAGCAACTGAATGTATGATTATACTTCAAATAGGCAACCAAAGCTAAAAATTTCCTTTCATTTCCAATCCCAAACTTGTTAATTTATTAGCAAGTCTAGTCTAAAATGGCTGGAGATGGAAGTGGATGCATTGGGTGACCAGTGTCTTGTTGAACTCTGTTCCGAAGTACAGGACTGATCTGGCTTCAAGTCTGTTGCACATTAGATGGTTCTTAAACCATAAGACATAAAAAAGAGTGGAACCAGGCCATTCGGCCCATCGGAATGGTTAATCATGGCTGATATGTTTCTCAAACTCATTCCCATGCCCTCTCCCCGTAACATTTGATCCCCTTACTAATCAAGAACCTCTGTCTTAAATTCACTCAATGACTTAGCCACCACAGCAGTCTGTGGCAATGATCAGATTAACCACCACTAACTGAATAAATTCCTCATTTCTGTTCGAAAGAGCTGTCGCCTCACTCAAAGGGTGTGCCTTCATGTCCCAGTCTCTCCCACTAGTCGCAACATCCTCTCCACATCCACTCTATCCAGGTCTCTCAGTGTTCTGTAAGTTTCAATGAGACTCCCCCCTTATCCTTCTAAACTCCATCAAGTACAGATGCAGAGTCCCCAACCACTCCTCATATGACAAGCCCTTCATTCCCAGCATCATTCTTGTAAACCTCCTCTGCAACCTCTACAATGCCAGCACATCTTTCCTGACATACAGGGACCAAACCTGCTCTCAATATCCCAAATGCGGTCTGACCAGAGCTTTGTACATCCTTGGTGGACTTTTAGTCTAGACCTCTCAAAATGAATGCTAATATTGTATTTGCCTTCTTAACTGCCAACTGAACCTGTATGTTAATCTTGAGAGAATCTGAACTAGGACTTCGTTCCTTAGATTTTCAAAACCTTTCCCCATTTAGAAAAAAAGTCTATCCTTCTAATCATCCTTCCAAAGTGCATAACCTCACACTATCCCACATTGTATTCCATTTGCCACTTCTTTGCTCCGTCTCCTAGCCTGACCAAGTCCTTCTGCAGCCTCCCTACCTCCTGAACACCACCTCTCCCGCCACCTTTGTATCATCTACAAACTTA